ATATTTTCTACTTAATATAAATTTTGGTCCTTAGAAATTTCTCATTAAAATAAAATTATCTACAGCATTTTCATTAAAAATATAAATGTTATTTAAAGCTGTAAAAAAAAATATTTAATCATTTATCAATACTTACATATATAGTTTAAAATAAAACAAGCAATTTTTATTTAAATCTTAATGTTAGTTCTTTTTTAAGTGAAGGTTTTTCAATTATTAACAACAAGGCATTCTTATAAAAATAATGAAAAGAACTGAACTATTTAATAGTACAGTACTTATGTATATTACATGTAATACAATACTATATTTGTAACAATGTAAATCAATATATGTTCGTATTATTTTTATTATTTTAAATGTGATTTTCTTGAAATTATTTAAATTGGATGTAAATAATTTGTATATCATATACTTACCTAATACTGATGAATGGACTTTTAACATGTGAAGCCTAAGACTAGCTTTACAGTTGTATTTTTTATCACAAGACGCTATTGGACAGGGATATATTAATTTTTCTACTGAGCCACTATGTTTTTTCATATGGACATATAAACTAGATTTTGCTGCAAACCTGGCGTTACAGTCTGTTGAAAAATATATAAAATTTACAATAAATATGAAATAATAAAACTTCATTTATTATGAATTATGTTTATTTATGTAACAACATTATTTTAGTAAACTGTAATATTTTATACAAAGAATTTAGAGATTTCAGTTTCAATAGCCAATTCAAACTTGAGGAAATTAACAGATAATATATTTCATCTGAATCAATTATTATCTATAAAAGTTTTTATATTTATATTCAGATTATTTTTCCAAATTTTTGAATCAGTGAAAGAATAAATGTAAATTTCAGACTTAAAAATTCCAGATATAATTACATCATGATTTAAAATTCATTGTGATTATTTTTAATGTTAAATGGCATATATTTTAATTTATTCAAAAGATGTATCAGTTTATATAAAGTTCATTAATAAAAAAATTATAAATATATTTTTTGGCAATTATTATTAGTGATAATTGATGAGAAAAATAAACACAATTGTTTTTCATGAGACTGATCATGAAAAACAATTTATAAATAATATAGTATGGTAAAAACTGGTTAATTCAAATCAATCAAGGAAAATAAAATTCAGACTGAGTTATGGAGGTTTGTCTAAAAATCAAGAATTTGTGCATTGCTTTATCAGCAATGTATACATACAATATATCCCTGGATCTTATTACATAAAATCAATCGTCGTGTCAATGTAAATCTATCGGTGTTATCCAGAAACTTGAAAACTCTTAACTGAATGTTTAAATAAGTTACTGAAAAAAGCTTTCCAGAATGCTTGATCCATTCACTCCTAAGTGTTAAGGATTTTTAAAATTGTGATATTTCATACTTAGAGTCAATCTGTTTTTTATTTTTTTTATCACAAAATAACCACTCTTTATGATTGTTATATTTTTAAAATTTTGCTGCAAAGATTAAAATTTTTACACAGAATTGGCATATAATCATTTTAATTATCAAAAAACTATTTATTATGTCAGCTAGTTTGAGAAATCATCAGCAATCAAATAAAATAAAAGAAAAAAAGCAGGTTTGAACAGCAGTTAAAGTTTACAAGTTTATTCAAATGATTCATTAATTAATTAATATAAAAAGTTTTAATGTTTGAAATAAATATAATATTCAGAATTAATACTAGCTGCAGGCATCAGCAAAACAAGTATGAAGTACACATAACACATTTCAGAGTCAACATTTAATCATTTAACCCATAATAAGAGCCAAGGAATTATAGGTCTACAGATTTTTCAATTGCAGCCCAATTAAACTACAAAAAATGAGACAAGAAGGTAAAAGGAATAATACAAATAATACCAATAATACAAATTTTTGAACTGGAAAATAATTGCATTTGAAAACTTTTTAAATGGTTCAAATTTGTTTTGAATTCTGCTAAAAAAAATGTCTGTCCTTTCCTTATTTTTAAATCATCATTATTTCATCATCATGTAATATACATTACTTTCCTTTAATTTGTGCTAAATCCTTTCCTTATTTTTTATAATAATATATTATTTCATTATCTCATGAATATTTTGACTAGAATATTATAACAGTACTTTTTGTTAAAATTAAATAAGTACATCAAATAAAAACTTTGATATATCCTTACATTTTGAGCAAAGAAAAAAAAAATTAGTACAAAATGTAAAGTCTAAAATAAAAATACATACAGAAGTTGAAAATTTTAATTGTCTGAAATGGCAGGAAAAAAAATTATAACTGATCTAAATTTAATATCAGAACACAACAGGAAACTAAAAATAGTATTCACATAGTCTGTGATACCAAACAAGAGTCTATGTAGTCTGTTTAATATTGTGGACTATGTAAATTCCATTTTTATTTTCTGTTGATTCTCCAGGAGATACAAGAAAGTTAATTCAGTGATCAAAACATTATTTTTGAACATCAAGATTTATTCCATTTTTCACAGGGGTGCAGAATATTTTTGGGACCCAAAATTTCCTCACAATGTAATTTTCTGTGCTAATGTTGCACATTAGCGCACAAAATAAAATATTTTATGAATGAATTAACAATTATTACTATATAGTTTAGAAGTGTTTTTCAACCTTCTTGAATACGTGACCCCTTTACAAGTTAAAAACTTCTGGCGACCCCCAGGGCCATATTGAAACTATATCAGTGATTTTAAAAACTANTTTGAAACATCCTAATCTATACTTGCATCGCGTCTACGATAGTGCTATCGTCCGGACAGTCCGGGGATCAGCTCGCCGTCCGGGTGAACTAGTAATTTTTTTATCCAAGGAAATCCTGCGATCCTGCGAAACCTGTTGACGTTTTTTTTTTTTTTTTTTTTTTTTTTTAGGGTCAGGATTTTCAGATTCTAATTTTTATTTCTTTTTGCAAATCAGCTCTACACTTTTTCAACTATGATTTTCTGGGGTGGGCCGTGCCCAGCCAGACCCCTCCCTGGCTACACCCATGGTTGAGACCTAATTATCAATCAAAAACCCAATTGTACTGTAAAATAAACAAGTACAGGTTCTCGCTGAAATTTTAGTTTTTTTTTTAATGTAGTGTAGGACCTACAAACACCTGTCTTTTTCTTTTACCCACGACCCTCCGTGTAAGGCTTCGTGACCCCCTGGGGTCGCGACCCACAGGTTGAAAAACACTGGTTTAGAACATTCAAATTTAATCCTACAAATAATAAAATAGACCTACTGTATACAAAATTCTGCATATTGGCAAAAAGAAAAGAAAACATTTAATGAAAGAGTTAATACTGGTCTACTATTAATATTTGAAAAGTGACTCATGTTGGATAGGTTCTGATGGCCCCGCATGTGATTGAAGTTGCTAATCTTAACGTCCAAAAGACTTCCTATAAGACATGTAATAAAAAAAAAAATCTTATAAAAATGCAAGAATAATTGCTTTTATGTGATCCTATAAAAAACTGGTGAAACTAGGTTGAGAAAGTAAAGTTCAACAAAAACATCTAAGTAAAGGAAAGTTTTGAAAATTGTGGCATAAGAATAATGGATGCAGATTTGACAGTAAGAATCAAAATGTGAATAAAATACACATTACACAGACTACAACTACAGAAAGTTTTGGATGAAGCAATGTCGTCATGATAATAAATAGGAAAAATAAAACATCAGGACAGGAAAAGACTTCCAGTTCTACTTTATGCCTTAAAATCATTGCATGTACTGTACAATAATTTGGTTGAACATTAGAACATCTTTAAGCAGAATAAGTGAAAGAAGTTTGGAACAATGGGCTTATGAATTAATAAAGGGAGATGAAATCGGGAAGGGACAGTGTATCCAGGTTTCCTGGTGATTAAGCATATCCTCATAAATATCATGTTTATAGAAAAATTATTAAAATTGATTTGCTTATCTGGTTACAGCAACACAACATGTGAGAAATCTGCCAAGGAGGATGCATTCCAGGAAGACTTTTATGTAAAGCTGGCCCCAATTTAATTGTTACTAACATGAAGAAAACTTTATGTGGCCAGTCCATTGGCAATACGCAAATCCACAACCAACGACCAGTGTTCGGTGGTTTTATCCACTCAGTTACTGGAGGGTACTTATTGGGCTGCAATTTGAAAAAGTTGTAGACCTAAAAATTTCCACTGTCATCTGTTCTTTATTAATCTCAAGAATGGAGTTTGATAGATGAACATTGAGACCAGATATGGAAAGTGCAAGAGAAAGAGAACCAGATTAACTATATATGAACTTCTGATTTGTACTGTAAGTCACATTATTTCAATTCAAAAATTTTCCCCTGAATGGATTTAGATAAATAATCAACACAACTTTATTGCTAACAGGAAAAGTATGATGTACAGGCACAAAACATTACTACACTCCATGCAGGTACTACTTGTTGCAGTAATGGTGTAATGGCACATCTATTTCGCACTATATCATTGTCACAGTAATTCAATAAATATTATATATATTTTAAAAAATTATATCCTTTAGTAAGAATTATATTTAGTTAATTATTTTGTTCAATTTTTTTGTCAATAGATAGCACTACATGTAAAGCCAGCAATCAAATATAGACAGAAATTAATCAATATATAGAAATGCAATCAATAATTTGGGGTGAAATGTATGACATTATCTAAGTTAGAACTATTTGAATGTAACTGCAGAGTTTCATAGCAACTGGTTGAATGGCCTAGGTATGCATAGCAACACAAACAAAAACAAACATCCTCATTTATATATATATATATATAGATAAAACATTTAAAGTTTAAATTAGAATATTCAGAGCAACAGAATCAAAGGCCTTGACTATGTCAATATAAACTACATAAGTAATTTTATTTCAAAGTTTGATAAGATTTCAGATTGTGTCTCAAGAAGTTACTGATAAAGCCACCACCTTATGGATGATGGATAATATTAGAATGTTGAGCATTATTAACACATTTAATAAGTTTACATATGTAAGGAGTCAATTCTGATGTGTTTTATTTTGTTGGGGAATTATTTTTCATTCATTTTCTTATTTATTTTGGGGCATTTTATTTCATTAAGGGTAGACTACTGCACCTCATCTGGACAAAATTCTAAAACAAACAAACAAAAGAAAAAACTAAAACAAAACTCTTCTCACTACAACTTCTAAGGGTGAATCGAATGCATCATCAACCAGAAATGACATCTCGGGGAAGACTTCCAAAGAGAAGTTAAAAGAATGATCACCCACCTCAAATTGTCACCAAAAATTTTAATAAAAGAATTATGTGAGGGTGATGACATGACATAGAAAGATTAATAGAGTTGCATAAATGTTAAACATAAGTATGTAAATAGAGTCAAATGGGTGTATCAATGTAATGTCACCATCCCAACACTATAAAAAGAGAGATGAACTATGAATGAGTAGGGTGAAGCTAAGGATCGAGTAAGGTTAAGGAAAAAGGCTTTCAATTTGGATGGCAGATTAGAAGTTTCTTCTTGGTGATGGTTAGATGAGTTAATTGTAAGAGTACTTTGTGAATTTCCTGTATATAATTCAATTTCATATTTCTGGTCAGTTCTTGTGAAGATAGTTTTATGTTAATTTTAAGTTCCCCAAGTGTCAGAAAAGTTTTTGTATTATATGTTATTTGTTGTATTATCTTGTTTTTGTTTTTGATTAGATAATTTATCCTTTTATATTTGAATTGTTTCTAACTTATTTCGTATTGTACATAGTCAGTCAAATATTAATAAATAGAATTTTTCTTTTTTATGTATAGTAAATAATTATTTCAGGCTTTTTGTACAGTAACAGATTTGTTTGTAATTATTTTTGCCCATCTAAAAGTCTAGCTTGGCATCAATTGACCTTCGATTTTGGTTTATGTAATGCATATTATGTAATTTCAGGGCTTTTGAAGAGTAAGACGTTACACGTATGGAACACAAATGCATATTTCAAGGATCTTTAACATAGTCGGGACAAGAGAAATAGGGTAAAATGAATTAAGGTCCTTTTAGAAATAAATAACAGATAATGTACATTATGAAGGAATAAAACAATGTTCAAGTATGTAGGGAAATGAGTGAAGAAAAACAGAAGCTGATACAGGTTTTAATTTTTTATGGAAAATAGTAGGAATTTGTTAAAACTATTTCAATAGCCTTACAGATTGCTGAAAAAGAAAATAAAGGTCAAACTGATATCAAGCACACACTGATTTAAGTTACAGATAAGGGAGTGGCAGTTTAAAAAAAGCTTCAGGTAGGTATGTTGAAGAAGAAAGAGTGAACTTGATTGTATGCATTATAGACTTATTGGCAATTTTATGACTTTGGGTTTGCAAAATCTATTTTACGGTAATGTTTTTGCAACTATTGCTGCATTTTTTCTGCTAAAAATTTCCCTGGGACTGTTTTACTTTCTCCCTAATCTCATTCACACAGCTGGACATATTCTGCATCCCTGCTTCTTTTAATGTTTAATATTAATTAAATACAATATTAACCACAGTGATTTAAAGCACCTCAAATAATAATTCCTCTTGTAATCTCTAACATAATACAAATATTCATGCCCAAAGAGGATTCTGATCAATAATCTTAAAAATGTTTTTACATATTTGTTGACAATCTGATGACAGAATGTTTTGAAGAAAAATTTTATAACAACAATTATTATTTTATGAATACTAAATTTGTAGCATATTTAAAGAATTTTTTTTATTAGAAAAAAATTCAAATTATTCAATGCAATTAATTTTGCATAGCGTAACCATCAAAGAAAAATGCATTTTCTTTAATTTCTCAGCTATGCTATTTAATAAATATAATATTGATAATATGAAATATCAGTAACATTCTCCTTCACTTACTTTCATGAGGACAAACAAATGGTTTATCTCCTGTATGTATTATCATGTGACCTTTTAAATGTTCAAGTCTCATGAATGATTTTCCACATCCTGGTTCAGAGCATGCATATTTTCTTTCACCAGTATGTTTTTGCATATGTCTTGTAAGTTTACTTGCATTTACAAATGTCCATCCACATCCCTATAATTAAATATTTNTAATTTTATATTTTTATATTTTATTAAATGTAATACTGTCGGCCATGTTAATATTTATTATTTTCTTCAAAATTAAATTTTTAATTTAGAAATTTCTGGAAGAAAAGAATCAGGCCACAGCAGGACTCAAACTTCTTACTGTGCCAATTATGCTATCTGGATCTTTGTCTAGGTAATGTAATTGGCAGAAGTATTTGTAAATTACACAAATTCTTGCAAAATACATAAATAGTAACCTTACAGATTTTGTTTAGACTAATAAATATAAATGAAGAGTTCAAAAATTAATCTTTGGCATTTACATAATCAGTTGTGATATCAGGACAGGAGTGTCACCATTCAGTTGTATATATTTTACATACTACAAAGATTTACTAAAAAATTTTTTCAGCTACTAAATTTTTTGTAATATTTTCTACTTAATATAAATTTTGGTCCTTAGAAATTTCTCATTAAAATAAAATTATCTACAGCATTTTCATTAAAAATATAAATGTTATTTAAAGCTGTAAAAAAAAATATTTAATCATTTATCAATACTTACATATATAGTTTAAAATAAAACAAGCAATTTTTATTTAAATCTTAATGTTAGTTCTTTTTTAAGTGAAGGTTTTTCAATTATTAACAACAAGGCATTCTTATAAAAATAATGAAAAGAACTGAACTATTTAATAGTACAGTACTTATGTATATTACATGTAATACAATACTATATTTGTAACAATGTAAATCAATATATGTTCATATTATTTTTATTATTTTAAATGTGATTTTCTTGAAATTATTTAAATTGGATGTAAATAATTTGTATATCATATACTTACCTAATACTGATGAATGGACTTTTAACATGTGAAGCCTAAGACTAGCTTTACAGTTGTATTTTTTATCACAAGACGCTATTGGACAGGGATATATTAATTTTTCTACTGAGCCACTATGTTTTTTCATATGGACATATAAACTAGATTTTGCTGCAAACCTGGCGTTACAGTCTGTTGAAAAATATATAAAATTTACAATAAATATGAAATAATAAAACTTCATTTATTATGAATTATGTTTATTTATGTAACAACATTATTTTAGTAAACTGTAATATTTTATACAAAGAATTTAGAGATTTCAGTTTCAATAGCCAATTCAAACTTGAGGAAATTAACAGATAATATATTTCATCTGAATCAATTATTATCTATAAAAGTTTTTATATTTATATTCAGATTATTTTTCCAAATTTTTGAATCAGTGAAAGAATAAATGTAAATTTCAGACTTAAAAATTCCAGATATAATTACATCATGATTTAAAATTCATTGTGATTATTTTTAATGTTAAATGGCATATATTTTAATTTATTCAAAAGATGTATCAGTTTATATAAAGTTCATTAATAAAAAAATTATAAATATATTTTTTGGCAATTATTATTAGTGATAATTGATGAGAAAAATAAACACAATTGTTTTTCATGAGACTGATCATGAAAAACAATTTATAAATAATATAGTATGGTAAAAACTGGTTAATTCAAATCAATCAAGGAAAATAAAATTCAGACTGAGTTATGGAGGTTTGTCTAAAAATCAAGAATTTGTGCATTGCTTTATCAGCAATGTATACATACAATATATCCCTGGATCTTATTACATAAAATCAATCGTCGTGTCAATGTAAATCTATCGGTGTTATCCAGAAACTTGAAAACTCTTAACTGAATGTTTAAATAAGTTACTGAAAAAAGCTTTCCAGAATGCTTGATCCATTCACTCCTAAGTGTTAAGGATTTTTAAAATTGTGATATTTCATACTTAGAGTCAATCTGTTTTTTATTTTTTTTATCACAAAATAACCACTCTTTATGATTGTTATATTTTTAAAATTTTGCTGCAAAGATTAAAATTTTTACACAGAATTGGCATATAATCATTTTAATTATCAAAAAACTATTTATTATGTCAGCTAGTTTGAGAAATCATCAGCAATCAAATAAAATAAAAGAAAAAAAGCAGGTTTGAACAGCAGTTAAAGTTTACAAGTTTATTCAAATGATTCATTAATTAATTAATATAAAAAGTTTTAATGTTTGAAATAAATATAATATTCAGAATTAATACTAGCTGCAGGCATCAGCAAAACAAGTATGAAGTACACATAACACATTTCAGAGTCAACATTTAATCATTTAACCCATAATAAGAGCCAAGGAATTATAGGTCTACAGATTTTTCAATTGCAGCCCAATTAAACTACAAAAAATGAGACAAGAAGGTAAAAGGAATAATACAAATAATACCAATAATACAAATTTTTGAACTGGAAAATAATTGCATTTGAAAACTTTTTAAATGGTTCAAATTTGTTTTGAATTCTGCTAAAAAAAATGTCTGTCCTTTCCTTATTTTTAAATCATCATTATTTCATCATCATGTAATATACATTACTTTCCTTTAATTTGTGCTAAATCCTTTCCTTATTTTTTATAATAATATATTATTTCATTATCTCATGAATATTTTGACTAGAATATTATAACAGTACTTTTTGTTAAAATTAAATAAGTACATCAAATAAAAACTTTGATATATCCTTACATTTTGAGCAAAGAAAAAAAAAATTAGTACAAAATGTAAAGTCTAAAATAAAAATACATACAGAAGTTGAAAATTTTAATTGTCTGAAATGGCAGGAAAAAAAATTATAACTGATCTAAATTTAATATCAGAACACAACAGGAAACTAAAAATAGTATTCACATAGTCTGTGATACCAAACAAGAGTCTATGTAGTCTGTTTAATATTGTGGACTATGTAAATTCCATTTTTATTTTCTGTTGATTCTCCAGGAGATACAAGAAAGTTAATTCAGTGATCAAAACATTATTTTTGAACATCAAGATTTATTCCATTTTTCACAGGGGTGCAGAATATTTTTGGGACCCAAAATTTCCTCACAATGTAATTTTCTGTGCTAATGTTGCACATTAGCGCACAAAATAAAATATTTTATGAATGAATTAACAATTATTACTATATAGTTTAGAAGTGTTTTTCAACCTTCTTGAATACGTGACCCCTTTACAAGTTAAAAACTTCTGGCGACCCCCAGGGCCATATTGAAACTATATCAGTGATTTTAAAAACTACGTACAGTACTGTATTTAATTTTCTTTCTGTTGA